GCATCTAAGTTGCATGCAATGTTTAATTCTGCAGTCACCATGCAATCAGATGATCAAGTCAAAAACCTATTTTAATTCTGGCTGCCTGTCAGAAGCAAGGTGTTCTCTGAGACACAGCATATCTTTCAGCCACTAAGGACTGGGTACCTGATTTAAATAATTCAATACTTAGATTTTTAATGGCAGAAACAAACTCACTTGCAGGTTTATATATTATGCTGATTTTGCACAATCTTAAATTCTAAATTACAGCAGCCCAACAGGGATTAATTTTCTACACATAAAAATGTGTGCGTGTGTCTACTAAGCACTGCTGTGAATTCTGTGAGCTTTTAAGCTAGTTTGAAAGTTTGTTTCTGTGAGGAGAATAATTATGTCTGGAAATGACAGAGAACAAATACATCTCTCTGCTTGAGTTTTGATTAGTATTGTGACAATCCATCCATTTAAATAAATCCTTTAGTGTGTAAAGCAATTACCTATGTGCCCAACAGGTCCTTTTGCACTGGGTTTCAAAGAATTGTGTTGTGCCAGCCTTGTCTTCTTGTTATTTATTCTTCCTAGAACATTCCACATAGCAAAAAAAATAATGATTTCTTATATTAATGAAGGTGCAGTATAATGCCAATGTTCGTGCATCTTTGAAAGTACAAAGATTGAGACAAGTTTCAATCTGGTTTTTTAAGGCCTAATTGTAGGCTTTTCTCATGATAAGGCAGACATTTCACTCCCACAGAAGAGTCTTGGAGTAGGAATTTTCACTGTGAGTGCAGACTCAGTGCAGGAGGCTGCCAGCACGACCCAGAACTGCGCCACACTGCCTTGCAGGAGGTGTCGCCTGCCGCTCTGCAGGGCATCCTGACCACGGCAGAAGGAACGGTGTAGCACACCCTGAAGGAAAGGTGTCTCTGGGGAAAAATCAGTTTGGCAGTCTCATTGTCTCATCTCTCTCATTGAAGTTTCAGGGGGAGGTAAGACACATGTGCAGTAGACCACTGAGCTGAGGTTTTAGCATTACGAGTGTCAGATATATAGAACTAACACAGGGGGAGGATTTAACTTTATTAGCACTTTAATGTCAGAAACTAAATTTTGGTTCCTTGGTCTGGAAAAAGTCTGTAACAGAGTTTTAAGAATTCAGTAGGTGGCTACATTTCAGTAGAAGTAAATAAAATTCTCAGAAGTAATTTAGTAGAGCTGAGTAAATTCCTGGTACCTTTTACATTTTAATGACAAATAATCTATGTCTACAAGACAACTTAAATAAGAAGGCATCTTAAATGCAACATTCCCTATGTGGTAAATTGGAAGAATTATTTGGCTGCTTTTCACTATTGGCCTTGATTTAAAGGTCAGGTTTTTCAGGCCCTGAAGCACTTATTTTTCCTTTTACTTGAAAATATGATGAAAAACATTGAGGGGTGAGAACATAAGATCAGTCATAAAAATGTAAATTTAGTCTCTACTAAGTCCTAATTGAATATCTTTGTTGGTAATAAATTTCCTTCATGAACACCTGGAGTATTTTGGATTGTATAGTCTAGGATGGATGCCTTTTCATTTTATTTATTTGCATAAAAGCAAAAGCTGAAAGTAAAACAAATGCAAAGTGCAACTGTATAGGAATGTTTTGAAGCTTTTAATTCTCAGAGATATTTTTTCTTTATTAGATACTGACTTTAAAATCAGAGAAACTAAATACTAGGTTACAATTATGTCACTTCTTAGAAAAATACTTCCTTACTGAATGAGAAATCACTTGCAGTATTTGTATGCAATCTCCAAGCTGAATTTATAGGTACTCTATCATTTCAACTCCTGCAAGCATGAGACTCTTAAGAGTTCAATTTAATGCCATAAAAATGTACTTCTTGCCGAATGTTCACTTTACTTCTCTGCACTTTAAATGAGCATCCTCATATGACAATCATTAAAGATTGTCTTTGGACTGATCCTTCTCTGGATCCACTGTGTCATAGGTTTTAGGCTTCAAATCTGAAGAATATTATTTAAATCCCTTTTTCCTAATAGGGAAAATACAGGAATTTTTCAATTGGAGCAAAAGGGAACATAGTATGATATGATTCTTCAGTATCCCCCATGGTCTGTACCACATCACAGGGAATCATGGGTCCAAATCAAGTCTGAATTAATTTATAAAATTATTTTCACATTGCATATTTTTATAACATTACTTTTCTCTTGTAACAAAGTACTTTGCAGATCAAAACCAGGACACAAGAAGGTTAATTTGTTGACTTTGGGAGGGTCAATATATTCATCTCTCTTTTGGTGAAGAAACAACCATTCAATAAACTGTGGTCAGGGAAGAATTATGTACAAAAAGTACCAGTGAAGCTGATTCCTCATAAAAGTACACAGAAATCATCCCTGTTTGAATAACATGAAGGCATAGTTACATATAATTTATTTTATTACAAATAATAATAATAATTATTATTTATATATTACAAATTATTTCTTTTGTGTCTTTTCACAAAACAATGAAATACAAAATGTGTGGATTTGAAAATGTGTAAGACATTCAGCCAGTCTTGCAAAGTTACACAACTGTATCTTATTTGTAATCCAGTGATAAAAAATATAAGCAGAGCCTTTGGTCATGTTTCTTACATAAGGTGTGAGAGTCTAGAGTGCAAATCATAATTAGAACAAAAAATCCCCTAAGCTTCCTATAAAGAAGGGCAGGGAATAGTTTTCATATCCCACTGATATTTTATGGATATATTCAGCTTACCTTGGAAAAAATACTTCAAAAATGAAAAGTTAGATTATGTGCAATTCATTTAGTGAAGTATATTTTTCAAAAACATTTCAAAGCATTTTTAGAACAATACATTTTTA